GCCCTTCTAATCTTTCAAAGCAAATAGAAAAGTACTGTTTTTACCGATTTGATTCCTTACATTTTTGACAACAGTGTTTTCTGAGCAATTTGTTTTTGTTTTGTTTTTTTTATAATGTTTTATCTGAATTTTATTTTTTAAAATTTATCTGAATGTTTTTGTTAACAAATTAGCTGAACTATAACGTACCTTGTGCATTTCTCTGAAATTTTATTTTATTTTATTATTTTTTAATTAATAATTCATTCTTTAATTTACATTCAAGTTAGTTAGCATATGGTGCAACAATGATTTCAGGAGTAGATTCCTTAATGCTCCTTACCCATTTAGCCCATAGCCCATTCCCTGAGCAATTCTTAAAACTAGTTCAACGTAAGGAGATTTACTTCCAAACTTCTGAGAATACGGTCTTTTTTATTTTCTTTTTTACACTTAACATGGGGTTTGAACTCATGACCCCAAGATTAAGAGTCATATGTTCTACTGACTGAGCCAGCCAGGCACCTGGAGAATCCATCTTATTCCAAAGGTAAAGGAAATAATTTAAAGAATGCATCAGAGAGAACTACTATATGATGAAGTGTGGTTTTATATTTATTTTTTTATTTCAAGTTTTTATTTTAATTCCAGTACTGTTAACATACAGTGACATATTAGTTTCAGGTGTACAGTGTAGTGATTCAACCTTTCCATATGTCGCCCTGTGCTCATCTGGACAAGGGCACTTCTTAATCCTAATTACTTATTTAAAAGACTCCCACCCCTCCCCTCTGGTAACCATCAGTTTGTTCTCTATAATTGAGTCCCTTTCTTGGGGCACCTGGGTGGCTCAATCAGTTAAATGTTTGCCTCTTGATTTGGGCTCAAGTCATGATCTTGCGGTTCATGCGTTCATGTCCTGTGTCGGGCTCTGCACTGGCAGTGTGGAGCCTGCTTGGGATTCTCTCTCTCTCTCTCTCTCTCTCTCTCTCTGCCCTTCTCCCACCTGTGTTCTCTCTCTCAAAACAAATGAATAAACTTAATTAAAAAACAGAGTCCCTTTATTGTTTCTCTTTTTTTCCCCCTTGCTTGTTTTTTTTTTCTTAAATTTTACATATGAATGAAATCATACGGTATTTGTCTTTCTCTGACTTATTTCACTTGGCATAACATTCTCTAGCTTCATCCATGTCTCTGCAAATGGAAAGATTTCATTCTTTTTTTTTATGACGGAATAATATTCCATAATAATTCCATAATATAACTGAATAATATTATGACTGAATAATAATGATACACACACACACACACACACACACACACACACACATCCATATTCTTTATCCATTTATCAATTGATGGATACTTGGGTTGCCTCCATAACTTGGCTATTATAAAAAATGCTGTAGTAAACATAGGGGTGCACATACCTGTTTGAATTAATGTTCTTGTATTTTGGGGGTAAATACCCAGTAGCGCCATTGCTGGATCATAAGATAGTTCCATTTTTAACTTTTTTTTTTTTTAAGTAAGCTCTGTGCCCAATGTGGCACTTGAATCCAAGACCCTGAGATCAAGAGGTGCATGCTCTATCTGAACCAGCCAAGCACTCCACTATTTTTAACTTTTTGAGGAATCTCCATACTGTTTTCCACAGTGGCTGCACCAGTTTGCATTTCCACCAATAGCACACAAGGGTTCCTCTTTCTCCACAACCTTGTCAACACCTGTTGTTTCTTGTGTTTTTGATTTTAGCCATTCTGACACATGAGAGATGATATCTCATTCTCATTTTGATTTGCATTTCCCTGATGATCAGGGATAATGAGCATATTTTCATGTGTCTGTTGGCCATCTGTATGTCTTTTCTGCAGAAGTGTCTGTTCATATCTTCTGCCCATTTTTAAATTGATTAGTTGTTTTTTTCAGTGTTGAGTTTTATAAGTTCTTTATATATTTTGGATACTAGGACTTTATTGGATATGTCATTTGCTAATATCTTCTCCCATTCCATAGGCTGCCTTTTAGTTTTGTTGATTGTTTCCTTTGCTGTGCAGAAAGTTTTTATTTTGAGGTAATCCCAATAGCTTATTTTTGCTTTTGTTTCTTTTGCCTCAGGAGACATGTCTCGAAAGAAGTTTCTACAGTCCATGTCAAAGAAGTTACTGGCTGTGTTCTCTTCTAGGATTTTTACGGTTTCAGGTCTCACATTTAGGTCTTTAATCCATTTGAATTTATTATTTTGTAAAAAGGTGGCCAAGTTTCTTTCTTTTGCCTGTAGCTGACCAGTTTTCCCAACTCCATTTGCTGAAGAGACTGTCTTTTTCCCATTGTATATTCTTTCCTGCTTTGTCGAAGATTGACCATATAATTGTGGGTTTATTTTTGGGTTTTCTATTCTGTTCTATTGACATGTGTGTCTATTCAGCCAGTACCATAATGTTTGGATTACTACAGCTTTGTAATATAACTTGAAGTCCAATATTGTGATACCTCCAGTTTTGCTTTTCTTTTCTTTTTCAAGATTGCTTTGGCTATTCAGGGTCTTTTGTGGTTCCATACAAATTTTAGGATTGTTTGTTCTAGTTTTGTGAGAAGTACTGTTGGTATTTTGATAAGGATTGCAATAAATGTGGAGATTGCTTTGGATAGTATAAACATTTTAATAATATTCCTCTAATCCATGAGCATGGAATATTTTTCCATTTCTTTGTGTCTTCTTCAATTTCTTTCATCGGTGTTTTATAGTTTTCTGAGTACAGGTTCTTCATCTCTTCGGTTAGGTTAGATTTATTCCTAGGTTTCTTATTTTTGGTACAATTGTAAATGGGATTGTTTTCTTAATTTTATTTTCTGATGCTTCATTATTGGTATATAGAAATGCAACAGCTTTCTGTACCTTGATTTTTTTTATCCAGGGACTTTACTGAATTCATTTATCAGTTACAGGATTTTTTTGGTGGAGTCTTTTGGGTTACCTGTATATAGTATCATGTCATCTGTAAATAATAAAAGTTTTACTTCTTCCTTACCCATGTGGATGCCTTTTATTTCTTTTTCTTCTATGATTGCTGTGGTTAGGACTTCCAGTACTATGTTGAATAAAAGTGGTGAGAATGGACATCCTTGTTTTGTCCCTGACCTTAGGGGAAAAGCTCTCAGGTTTTCCCTCATTGAATTTGATTTTGCTGTGGGTTTTCAGTATGTGGCCTTTATTATGTTGAAGTATGTTTCCTCTAAACCTTCTTTGTTGACGGTGTTTATCATGAATGTTGTATTTTGTCAAATGCTTTTTCTGTACCTATTGAAATGATCATATGGTTTTTATTCTTATTTTTTATTGATGTGATGTATCATGTTGATTGACTTGCGAATACTGAACCACCCTCAGAACCCCAGAATAATTCCCACTAGATCGTGGGATGGTTTTTGAATGTATTATTGAATTCACGTTAGTAGTATTTTATTGAGAATTTTTGCATCTATTTTCATCCGGGATATTGGCCTGTAGTTCTCTTTTTTTTTTTTTTTTTTTTTAAATTTTTTTTTCAACGTTTTTTTATTTATTTTTGGGACAGAGAGAGACAGAGCATGAACGGGGGAGGGGCAGAGAGAGAGGGAGACACAGAATCGGAAACAGGCTCCAGGCTCTGAGCCATCAGCCCAGAGCCCGACGCGGGGCTCGAACTCACGGACCGCGAGATCGTGACCTGGCTGAAGTCGGACGCTTAACCGACTGCACCACCCAGGCGCCCCCTGTAGTTCTCTTTTTTAGTGGTATCTTTATCCAGTTTTGATATCAGGGTAATGGCATCATAGAATGAATTTGGAAATTTTCCTTCCTTTTCTAATTTTTGGAATAGTTCGAAAAAAATAAGTATTAACTCTTTTTTAAATATTTGATAGAATTTGCCTGTGAAGCCATCTATTCATGGACTTTTGCTAAGAGTTTTTTGATTACTGATTCAATATCTTTGTTGCTTATCTGTCTGTTCATATTTTCTATTTCTTTCTTTTTCAGTTTTGGTTGTTTATATATTTCTAGAAATTTATTCATTTCTTCTAAGTTGTCCAGTTTGTTGGCATATAGTTTTTCATAATATTATGATTATTTGTATTTCTGTTGGTGTTGGCTGTTATTTCTGCTCTCTCATTTGTGATTTTATTTGAGTCCTTTCTCTTTTTTTCTTGATAAGCCTGGCTAGAGGTTTATCAATTTTGTTAATTTTTTTCAAATAACCAACTCCTGGATTCGTTGATCTGTTCCATTGTTTTTTTTTTTTTTTAATGTTTTTTTGTTATCATTTTTTTTTAATTTTGAGAGAGAGAGAGGGAGAGAGAGAGAGAGAGAGACAGAACACAAACAGGGGAGGAGCAGAAAGAGAGAGGGAAACACAGAATCTGAAGCAGGCTCCAGGCTCTGCGCTGTCAGCACACAGAGCCTGACTCAGGTCTCGAACCCATGAACTGTGAGATTATGACCTGAGCCAAGGTGAGGTGCTTAAATGACTGAGCCACCCAAGTGTCCCTGTTCTGTTTTTTTTTGTTTTTGTTTTTAGTTTCTATATCATTTGTTTCTGCTCTAATCTTTATTATTTCCTTCCTTCTGCTGGTTTTAGGTTTTATTGTTCTTTCTGTAGCTCTTTTAGGTTTAAGGGTAGATTGTTTATATGAGATTTATCTTACTACTTAAGTTAGACCTATACTGCTTTTATAAACTTCCCTCTTAGAACTGCTTTTGTTGCATCCCAGAGGTTTTGGATCATTGTGCTTTTGTTTTTATTTGTTTCCATGTATTTTTAATTTCTTCTTTTATTTGGTTGATCCATTTGTTGTTTAGCAGCATGTTATTTAAACTCCATGTATTTGTGTTCTTTCCAGATTTTTTTCTTGTGGTTCATTTTTAGTTTCATAGCATTGTGTTCAGAAAAGATGCATGGTATGATTTCAATCTTTTTCAATTTGTGAGACTTGTTTTGTGGCCTAAAATGTTACTGTTTCTGGAGAATGTTCTATGTGCACTTGAAAAGAATGTGTATTCTGTTTTAGGATGGAATGTTCATAATATATCTGTTAAATCCATCTGTTCCAGTGTGTCACTCAAAGGTATTGTTTTCTTGTTGATTTCCTGTTTAGATGATCTCTCCATTGATGTAAGTGGGGAGCTAACGTCCTTTATAATTAATGTTTATTTATTTTTGAGAGAGAGAGAGACAGTGCGAGTTGGGGAGGGGCAGAGAGAGGGGGACACAGAATCTGAAGCAGCCCCAGCCTCTGAGCTGTCAGCACAAAGCCCAACGTGGGGCTCGCACACATGAACCATGAGATCATGACATGAGTTGAAGTCAGACACCCAACCTACTGAGCCACCCAGGCACTCCATGTCCTTTATAATTATTGTACCACTATTGATTAGTTCCTTTATATTTGTTATGAACTATTTTATGTTTTGGGGTGTTCCTATGGTGGCTGCCTAAATATTTATAATTGTTATATATTCTTGTTGGATCATCCCCTTTATTATTATATAGTGTCCTTCTTTGTCTCTTGTTACAGTCTTTGTTTTAAAGTCTCTTTTGTCTAATAGAAGTACTGCTACTCCAGCTTTTTTGACATCCATTTGCATGATAGATATTTTTCCATCCCTCACTTTCAATCTTTAGGCGCCTTTATATCTAAAATAAGTCTCTTGTGGGCAGCATATAGACGGGTCTTACTTTTCTTTTCCATTCTGTCACCTTACGTCTGTTGATTGGACCATTTAGTCTATTTACATTCAAAGTAATTATTGCGATACCTGGGTGCCTCCACTCAGGTCATGATCTCATGGTTGTGAGATCGAGCCCTGCTTTGGGCTCCGTGCTGGGTGTGGAGCCTGCTTGGGATTCTTTCTCTCTCTGTCCCTCTCCCTTTCAAAGAAAAGATTTTTAAAAAGTAATCATTGACAGATATTATTTATTGCCATTTTGTTACTTGTTTTGTGGTTGTTTCTGAAGATTTTCTCTGACCCTTTCTTGTCATTCTCTCTTTCAAGTTTTGCTGATTTTCTTTAGAAATTTATTTGGATTTCTTTCTCTTTATTCTTCACATGTTTATTAGTAGTTTTTGATATATGGTTACTATTAGGTTTGTATATAAATTCTTCTGCATTAGCAGTCTATATTAAGTTGATGATCATTTAAGTTTGAACTCATTCTTCTTTCCTTTGCATGTTTTAGGTATATATTATTATATCCTTTTTGGGGGTAGTTCCTTGACTGATTTTATAGAGAAATATTCATTTATACTGATTTTGTATTTCCTACCTTTTTACTGTCAGTTTTGGTCTCTCCTTTATATATATATATATATATATATATACACACACACACACATATATATGTGTCTGTCTATATATATATATGTATATATATATACACACACATATATATATATATAGACACACACATATATATATGTATATATATACCAATTTGTATTTTTTAAGTTATTTATTTATATAATCTCTGCACCCACTGTGGGGCTCAAAGTCACATGCTCTACTGATTGACCTAGCCAGGCCCCCCTTTCTACTCAAAGAGTCCCATTTAATATTTCTTACAGGGTTGATTAGTGTTTTTTGTCTGGGAACTTTAGTTTTTGTCTGGGAAACTCTAAATCTCTCCTTCTATTCTGAATAACCTTGCTGAATAAAGTATTCTTGCCTGCAGATTTTTCCTATTCAGCACCTTGAATATGTCATGCCACTTACGGGGTTTCCCTTGTAAGATACTTCTTTTGTTTTGCTTTCTTATTTATTTATTTAATTTACTTATTGAGAGAAAGAGAGAATCCCAAGCTTTCAGCACGTAGAGCCTGACACAGGGCTTGAACTCAGAAACCATGAGCTCGTGACCTGAGCCAAAACTGAGTTGGATGCTCAACTAATGGAGCCACCCAGGTGCCCCGGTCTTGCTTTTAAGATTTATCACCACATTTTTTCAATTTAGTTACAATGTATCTTGGTGTGGGTCTGCTTTTGTAGATTTTGATGGGAAATCTCTGTGCCTCCTGTACCTGGATGTGTTTCCTTCTGAGATTAGGGAACCTTTCAGCTATTTCTTCAGATTAATTTTCTACCCCCTTTTTTCTCTCTCTTCTTCTGGGTGTCCTATAATATGAAATTATTACATTTGATGGAGTTGCTAAATTTCCTGTCTGTTCTTGTTTCATGTAATTGTTTTTACTCTCTTTTGTTCAACTTGATTATGTTCCATTACTCTGTCTTCTAGGTCACTAATTTGTTCCTCTGCTTCTTCCATCCCACTATTCATTCTGTCATGCGTGTTTCTTATTTCATTTATTGAGCTCTTTATCTCTGCTATGTTATTCCTTATCTCTGAGTTAAGTGTCTCATGTCCAGTTTTCTCAAGTCCAGTGAGTATCTTGCGGTCATTGCTTTAAACTGGTGTGTTAGATGTATCTGTTTTGCTTAGATCTCTAGCCATGGACTTGTTCTTGGAGCTGGGAAAATTTTCTCTCATTTTGTCTGCTTCTCTGTGTGTTTCTGTGTGTTGCCAGCTAGGTATTCTGTTCTTAAAAGTAGCAGGAGGTCCTGGAATGCCCTGCAGTGCAGTATCCCCTGTTTATCAGAACCTGGCATTGCAGGAGAGTACCTATGTGTGTTGACACCCTGCTGTTGTGTCACTTTTCCTTTCAGTGCAGTTGTCTGCACTGACTCTCTGCATGTTGTGGGCTGTGATTGTTCTCTGTGGTGTTAGTGGGACTCTGGCAGGCCAGCTCTGATGGCCTGTGCCCACAGGGGAACTTGGGAGTGGGAAGCAGTGTTAGCAAAATTTGTGTTGGGACCCTAGTCCTATGCTAGATTTCACAAAATCTTGTGGCAGCTGGGAACTTGTGCATTGGGGCCAAGTGGTGGGTGTTCAAGGTTGGGCATGGGGCAGTGCTGGGTGATTTGCACAGTGGCAGGCAATACCTGGTGGCTAGGCAGGGTGTAAGCATAGCTTTAGCAACATTTGCACTGAGCCTAGGGACGAGGCCTCCAGGCTTGGAGGGGGAAAGTGCTCTGGAAAACTTGTGGGGATGGTATATTGGTAGTACATTCGGTAGCAAGTGTCTGTGCAGTACCACCTCCTGCAAGTGGCTCTGTTTATGCTGGTGGGTAAGGGAGGAAAACAGTACCTGTCAGCTCCCTCATTTTCCAAATCCCTTAACATGCTCCATACTCGGTAGGAACAGCTCTCCTATTTGTCCCTGGCGTTGTGTAAGCTGCCATTTTTATGTTGCCTCTCCAAGCCAGCTGCTCTGTAAGAGCGGAGACACAGCTATCGCTTGCCCAGTGCAGAGTTGGCTGACTCCAGGATCCAAGTCCCACTGGTTTTACAAACACAGGTTGGTTTTTAAAGCCAACCTTATGGGGATTAGCTTTCCTTGCGTGCGATGGCCTGTATCTCTGCTCTCTCCATACAGGAGAGCTCCCTCTCTCCTGCTGGCAGCCTCCCTCTGCCTAGCTGACCGTCCTGACCTTTGAGAGGCAGCTCCACGTCTATATTTAGCTATGGTTTGTTCTGCCAGTCTTCAGATCATTCTCTGGTTTATTGACCTGGATATGGATGGTATCTAGTTGTAAATGTGGGACAGGGTGAGCTTGGGGTCCTCTTAATCCACCATCTTCCCAAGCTCCTGATGATAAGGTATGTTTTTTGCATATTTTGTATGAGCTACGTGGGGGTAAAATAAAGTAGCATTCCATTTATGGTCTTATTACTTTCTCCAATTAAGGGCAGTCGAGCACCAAAATGTACTGCTTAGGTAGATGACAAATGCACTATTGAGAACCTAAAATATTTCTTCATACGCTATGTATTCATGAAATACCTAAATAAGTAGACTGATCAAATATAGTCAAATCTCCAAATACTGTTTCACCAATGCTGTTAACTCTGATCAGTATTAGAAAAAAAAATCAAATCCAATATTAATTAACTCGTTCATAAAGTTTTTAATAAGCTATCATTTTCTTACATGTACACTACTAGTAAACTTAAAGACAAATATTTACTACCAAACGTTAAATACTGTACAATTTATAAAAAATATAATTTTAAGAATTTGGAGTAATAAAGGGAAGAAACCATCTTCAAATGGATAAAATAAGAAAATCCTACTTGTTAAGAAATGTAACCAGAAAAGATATTTCCAATTTGTCTAAGGGAATACTAAAACTTTACTGAAGTCAGAGATCATAGTATTTTTGTTCAAGCCTTTATCTACATAGCTTTAAATAAGCCTGAAAAATTACTTTCTAGTATATATAAGGCTGTTTGAAACAGAGTGCATGACTGAGAGAAGGACTATGCTAGCATGTGAAATCATGAAGAACAGGGATATATCTTATTCATCTTTATATCCTCAGCTCCTAGCATAATGCCTAGCTCAAGGTAAGTAATAATGTTTAAACAATGCTTGCTGCTTTGAACCAAACTGGGGAAATACACATTTCTACCTTTGGTCCAAATTTCATTCCATATTAAGCACTACATTTAAAGTTCCTGAGTTGCAGTCCTGGTTCTTGGCCCTTAGCCTTAAACTGGGTATGGTAGGCCAACACACATAAACATTCTGTATCAGCCTTTTGACAGAGTCCTTAGAACTGAACCATCACAGGCCTGTGAATCTTCTCTTATGTGGTCTGATTCTTATTTCTTGGATAAGTTAGTATCAGTGTGCAGAAGTAATGCATTTTCGGTGCAGGATAAGAATGTGCTAGGCCTTGTTTTTCCATGTTTTAAGTAACAGATACATAGCATCTTATATTACGACATATTAGCATTTTTAGACACTCAATATAATACACTGTATTACAATGAAATGTGGTGGTAGGCTTCCATTTTAGGAGCAAAAATAAGTTTCACATGAAAAAAGATTTATTTTAGATTCACAGAAAATACATTTAGAATAAATCTAAATTTTCAGCATTTAAACAAACACAGAGGAGCTTCAAGATGTATAGTCTCCATGCGGTCTGAAAAGCAGGTACAAAAAGCTCTTTTGCAATTACTGATCATCACCTCGTTGCCTTAAATTTCTAGATTTTCCATTTTCAATTCTTCTCTTTTTAAAGACTGGGGCCACTCCATCTGCCACGATTCCAAGAGAAGTGACTGTTTTTTCTTTAAATACCATTTTAGATTGTCCACCAATATCAGGTTCTGAAGTTGATACACACTCATTTTCAGTGCATGGAAGTTCAAAATCTACCTCCTCACTGAAACAGAAAGTAAGAATAAAACCATTATTTACTAGACTAAGACAAACCTTTACCTAACCTCTGAGTCCACCAAAAGCCCAGGATCATCTTTCTAATGATAGAAGTTAAAAGTCATTTCAAAGTAGGAAACTTGAAAAATACTATTTGAATACTTGAAAAATATTATTTAAAATACAGAGTACCTATTTAGGGGGATACGTGTCTGGAAAATTCTTTTTATTCTATTCTTTTAAATTCTGTTCTTTTATTCCTTCTGCACAAAGCATGTATCATCAAAGGAAATGCTTGTGCTTATACAGAACTAGCAGTACAAGTTGCAAAGGTGGATATGTGACAGTTATTTATGGAAAACTGGTTTTGCCATGAACTGACAAGGGCTCTGGGGGCTTACAGAGCACATGATGAAAACCATGGAATCCCACTGTCCTAGGGTAGGAGACTCTACATGGCTGTTTGCCTAGCACTTCTTTTCTATCTAAGATCTAGCCACCCACATGGTTAGTGAAAGTAATCGGTTGACTAGTCTAGAGATTGGTACCTGATTGACATGAACCTATCACAGTATTCCACCCTCCACACAGTCAACTGGTCCCTGAAAGAGCAACTAAGTCATGCCACACTCATCAGTCCCACCCATGAGCTTTTAAACATGGCCCAGAAAGACCATTATGTTTAACTAACTGTTTAGTGGCTAAGAGTGTAAAACCTGTGGGGAACTATATATCTTCCTATTTAAAGGAATCCTGCAATGGTTGAGAATAAAGGTGGCTTATAGGGAAAAGGAGCAATGAGCAGCAGGGGGAAAGAGAATCCTGCCAATGTTTCAAGACTTGCTCTAGTAACCCCTCAGGCTGAGTGCAATTCCTGCCCTTCTCACAGCCTGGTAGGTAGAACCTTCCTGGGAATCTTTGAACTAACAACCTATTTTTTATTTAAGGTAACTTGAGTTTCTATCACTTGAAACCAAAAGATTAACTGGTTAATATTTGTTATAGATTAATTGACCATATAAACACGGGTTTATGTCTGAGTTCTCTATTTTGTTCCAGTGATCTGTGTGTCTATTTTTGTGCCAATACCATATTGTTTTGATTACTACAGCTTTGTAGTATATCTCGAAATTTGGGGTTGTGATATCTCCGGCTATATTCTTCTTTTTTAAGACTGCTTTGGCTATTTGGGGTCTTTTAGGGTTCCATACAAATTTTATTATTTGTTCTAGTTCTGTGTAAAATGCTGTTGGTATTTTGATAGGGATTATATTGTATCTGTAGATTGCTTTAATAGTATGGACATTTTAACAATATCAATTCTCCTAACCCATGAGCATGGAATATCTTTCCATTTGTTTGTGTTGGCTAAAACTTAATATATGCTATCAGGTCAATTATCTTAAAAGTACATGAAAACAAATTTGCTTCCCTCTCAGACAGACTCTGTAGAAAGGCCTGTAAAAATAGTTTTACAAAATCTTTTCATGTCCCATCCTATATACACATAAATAAAAACAGGTTTAAAAAAATAGGTGTCTAGGCATTGTAATAAATATTTTTTAAGATTTTAAGTAATCTCTACACCTACTGTGGAGCTCAAACTCACCACCCTGATATCAAGTCACATGCTCTACCAAATGAGCCAGCCAGGCACCACTAGTTTTTTTAAAATGTAAAAACAGTTTGGAAATTTGTTAGTCTTACAACAAAACAAAAACAGAGAATATAAGTATAAAAATAAAATTTCAGGCTAGTAATGGCTAGTTCAAAACTAAAACAAAACTTTTCCACATAATATAACAAACACTTGAGAAAGAATCTATCTTAGATCATAATGTGATAAACATTTCCTCAAAATCTGATGAGGGGATGCAGCAAATAGGGATTCTCACTGGAACTGGTCTTAAATCTGATTTGTTTTGAAAACATGCCTTCCAAAACTTTTCTTTACTGTATTAAAAATATATGTTAGGGGCTCCTGGGTGGCTCAGTTGGTTAAGTGGCTGGCTCTCGGTTTAAGCTCAGGTCATGATCTCATGGTTCATAAGTTTGAGCCCTGCATTGGGCTTTGTACTGACAGTATACAGCTTGCCTGGAATTCTCTCTCTCTCAGAGAACAAATACTTAAAAAAAAAAAAAAAAAATATATATATATATATATATACACATAATGTATATATTATGTAAAATGTTTTATTATATATTAATATGCTATATGAATATAATTATATATAATTGATTATATACATATAGAATTATTATATACATATATAATAAATGCCATTTTTATTTTTACTACTTCCCTATTTTCTTAGACTGTCAACGATGGTGCTTTTTCTAAGGTTAGTAGCCCCTGCAGTTGATACAGTATTAATTCTTGGCTTTTCTTCTTTTATTACATGAGAGGAAACTAAGGTTTAAAGAGGTTAAATAACTTGATCAAACTGTTATGTACGTAGAGCTTGGATTAAAACCCAGGCCTTTCTGACCTAAAATCTGTCTTTTTTCCCCCTAGACCACTCTGCTTCCAGGTGAAACTAAGAAATTCTATTAGCCAAGGAGAGAAACATTTGAGGAATGAAGTGTAGCAGGGTTTGGTCACTGGAAAAATGAATCTGTATCCAAGAAAATTTGATGTGAGATTCATTTATTTCATTTGAATCTTGGTGCTTCATATTATATTTTGTTAGAGTGATCAAGCTGTAACAGTCTTCTTTTTTAAGTTTATTTATTTTGAGAGAGAGAGAGAGCTGGGTAGAGGCAGAGAAGAGGGGAGAGAGAGAGAATCTCAAGCAGGCTCTGTACTGTCAGTGCCGAGCTTGATGCGGGGCTTGAATCCACGAACTGTATATCATGACCTGAGCCGAAATCAAGTTGGGCACTTAACCTACTGAACCACCCAGGCGCCCCTAGCATTTCTTAAGGGGAATTATGGGAAAGATAAAATAGAGGAGGGTTCCATATTTGAAATGATGGTTCTACGAAGTTCCTAAGTGGAGGTTAACAGAAGTGGCAGTAAAGTAGGATATATATCCTTATGACAGATTTAAAAGTTTGTATTTGAAAGAAAAGGTAAGAGACTGCAAGTAAATCTATTACAGAGAAATGTCTATTCAAATAACTTTGGAACAGTTACAAAAAATAATTATACAGGCACTTCCACAAAACCATACTCATTTCCAAATTCAAAATGCAAGAACTGTAAAGGTCATAGTATTTGAACACAACATAATAAAGGTGAAAAAATAAACACCCCTGCCACATGCATATTTTAAAATGTGAAAATTAATTAAAGGAAACCTTTTTTTTTTTTTTTTTTTTTTAAGGAAATCTCATTTAGAATGGAGTCAGGCCAGCAGGGCAAGCTCTCACAACTTCTCACTTCTCAATTCCAGACCTAAGGGGAAGAGAGGGACTTTGCACAAGGATACTATTTTGCTATCCCAACAGGAGGAAGAAAGGCTTTCCTCCTCCCCCAAGCAACAATCCAGCCAATGAGACACTGACACCTCAGCCAGTGAAAACCCACTATACTTCCAGTTCCCAATTTACTCTAATGGACTTTTTTGTTTATAACAGCT